ACAGGCCTTTAACTCAGTGCACAAGCTGTGATAGTCTAATATTATTAACCTGATTCATTTCACGGAAAGGGTCACTTTATGTAGAGGCTATGTATAAACTTTATTCAGCCAAAAGGCCATTAAGAGAACACGTGCTTTGAAGGAACCAGCAAAACTCAATCTATCCCCTCAGTAAGCATAATTTCTAGTTTTCAGTCAAGAAGACACTGGCAAGCGGCAGTGCTTGAAAACTGCATGGCTCAGACGTTTCTAAACCCTTTTAATCCATCACAAAGGGCTCCCTTTATTGGTGCTTTGTTTTCCTTCTACTGCCCTACAGTATGGCTGCCAGTGTATACTCCTGATAAGCAGTGAGCCATGCAGATGCTCTCAGGCTTCCATGCATACAGCACCACACAACCTGCCAATGCCCTTATGTGGGGCACAATGTGGCACAGACAACCAGAAAAGGGGACACTCCCTCCATCCCCTGCTGTCCAGGGAACGTGAAAGAACAGAAGATTAATTTCCATAGGCCCTACTGTGCCATCTAACCAAGTTCCTATTACAATAAACAGGAACTTCTACTTAAAAATTGATGGCACAGTTTGCCCCTCTACAACATTAATGACATTTTTATCTCCTTGGGTTTAAATTTGGTATTGCTAATGCAATTAGGTACAATATGAGAGAGACAGAGAGAGAGAGCACGCACGTGCGCATCAGATCTCTACATCTGAACCTATATTAAAAGATGCAGTTCATTGTGAGACATATGGAGAGGAATGTTTCCCTGTTTTACAGGATGGAAAGGCCAACAAAGTTCTGTCCTAGGCCAGAAATTGCCACAAATGCTTGCAAAGGACACATTCAAAACTTCCACTGTACTAGAGCAAAAGAAGACAGAAGATAACAGGTCTTTACCCCAGACAAGATAAAATGGTGTGTAAAGTACCCATTGCAGTATTCAGGCTATATATGGGTATAATTTCTTCCCTGATTGAAAAATTAGAGCAGCAATGGTAAGAAAAATGCTTCTACCAAACAAACCTTAAGTTTTTTGTATAGTGTTCCTCCATCTTCAAGACCCTTTTCCTACAAATGTTGGGCAATTCCCTCCTTCTGTATACTGTCCAGCAGGGGTCCATGGAGAACTGCATCTATAACAGACTCTGGCAGGAGCCTGAGGGACTGGGATGTGGTATGGTGCAGAGGCTTATGTTAAGAGCTCAAAATATTAAATGAAGCAGACCTCAGTCAGAGCCCTTTTGTTTCAAGGGATTTCTGTACAACACGTGCTACCAAAATATCCTTAGTGGAAGAATGGAGCAGTTAAAACCCCAGCAGAGTTGAAAGTCTCTGGAAACTTGGAAGACACCTGGAAAAGTTTTAAACAATTCTTCACTCTGTATCTATAAGCAATGGGTGCCAGCAAAAAGGAAGACGAGCAGAACACGGCTTTATTTCTGACAACAGCAGGTTCTGAAGCACTTGATGATTTAATAGTTTTCAGTTAACTCAGGCTGAAGAGGTTAACTCTGAAAACCAGTAGAACAGAAATCTGAAGAGTACTTCACAGTGTACTAAACTGAAACACAGGAGTGTTGTTTTTTTTAATGGAAAACGCAAAAAGCCGGTGAAAACTTCAAAAGAGTTTGTGACTGATCTAAGGCTAAAGAGTCAGTCCTACCATTTGGATGAGATAACTTGAGTCCCTGATAAGAGATCAGATCCTGACTGGGACGTGTGACCAAAAAAACTCTGAAAAGTGCTACTAGAAACCCATGAATAAATCCCTGAGAAAGCAATTGGCATTTGCCAAGTATCCAGTCCAGACTGAAGCTTATGGAGAGAAGATGGTGCTCTAACACTGGTATCACAGAGACCCCAAGATGCTGCAGAAAGGGAGACCCGAGGCAAAAAAGTGCATGGGAAAAGCACTGTGTATGGACAGCACCCTCTGTGGCATACACTACAAACTCAAACATCGACCAGCATTTGTGGAAAAAAATTGTAAAAACTGTTTTGGATCACAAGGATATTAGTGCTGAAAGAAAAGCTAAACAGGCAGTCAAAGGTAAACGTGAAAGTCAAGGCTTATGATACAATCTCTTCTTCAGCCAAGGTGTGTTTGAATGGAATATATCAGTAATAGCGCATTGGAAAGGATAATTTATAACAATACTACAGAAAAAGGACCAAATATTGACAGCTCTTTTTTTTCATTAAAAGTCTACACTCATGGGAAGGGCAGGGGGATGTAAAGAACTGAGGAAGGGTTTGAGATCATCTTCCAGGAGGAAAGAAAGCTCTTAACAGAGATGGAATAGAGCAGAAAGCGCCCTGCTGTCTCACCGTTCCTGCCCTCGGGCAAGTTCCACTTGCCCTAAGGCAGAAACTAAAAGAGGAGCCGGATAAGCTCATTGCTCTGGGAATGAAAGAGGGAGTAAAAGAACCAACAGAGAGGGCACATTCACTGGTCATTGTAAAAGAGGAAACCCCTCACTTATGTATAGACCCAAAATAACTGAATTTTCCACAACCTAGAAGGGGAGAAATTGTGGAACACTTGGCTGATGCAAAATGGTTTTCAATGCGTGATGCATTTGCCAGAAATGGGCATGTCTTGTTACTGAAACAAAGCACACATTTGTGCCTATCCACCCTCCTTTTGGGGAGATGCTTTTTCCTCTGATAGTCTTTCAGTTAAGTTCAGCACCAGAGGTGCTTTGCCAGCAACTCCAATCAATTTGTTTAGAGGATATTAAGCTCTGCAGTAACAGATGCTGTTTTAATCTGGGACAAAGCAGTAAAAGAACATGACCAGAGGCTCCACAAAGCTCTGAAAAGAGTGAGGGCTGCTGGGTTAAAGCTAATAAAAATGTGTATTCATAGCATGTTGGGGTGCCAGGGATGGCTGTGACACCTTCTGGTTGCTCTGCAACCATGCCCTGTTCTACCTCTAGGGTGCCTTCCCGTCCGTCTTACTTGCCACATATTATAATAGGATTAAAAGGAGGCTGCCCATGGGCCTTTGCGCTGAATTCCCACTATGGTTCCCCAGCACCCTACTGGTCTCCACTACACCATTCCCAGGCCCCTTGCTGGGCCTCACCACTCCAAGACCCCTCACTGCACCTCTCTTGACCATGCCAATGTACAGTATATATAGTCGTAAGGGCTAACTGCATGGCTCCATTCCTTCCTTACACCACGCCTCAAGTCTTGTGGGTATTGCTATATTGTCACTGTCTCCTGTTGGGGCTTCGACTTCCTCGGCTGCAGCCCCTTTCCTCTTAGCTAGGCCCTCTAGCCCAGGCCCACTGAATTGGACCTGGCTTTGAGGCACCAGCTCTGGTCTACCCTTTTGGACACCAGGCCCCTGGGATCTTGCAACAGTCAGAGTGGTCCATTGCTGAGGCACTTCTTAACAGCTCCACCCCTCCTAGGGTCTCCATGGAAACAGGCTGCAGTGATGCGGGCAGGGGCTGCTGGGAAATGGAGTCTGCCGTGGGCCTGATCTGGCCCATGGGCTGGACTTGCATCTACCCCTGCCACTGTCCAAGACAGAATACAAGGCTAAACAGACCATTGTTCTGACCTGGCACAGCACTTCTGATGTTCTTATTAATAACGTACCTGACAGAAAAGTTACAGGATATACAGACAGGTTGCAATAAGGTTAAGGCCATCACCATGACTGCTCCAAAAGATAGGCCAGAGTACAAAATCCCTTGGAATGAGCCCTACAGGGTAAATTTGTTGCTAATCAAATCTATTCTTGCTATATATGGCCTACCTGACACAGTGTAATGTCTGACAGTGGGCCAAAAAAAAAAAAAAATGGCAGCAGAAAAGGTTAAAAAAGAACTAGGAAAAACAAAATTTGTGGATTATTGAATGAGCTGGTGAAAAATGAGCACAGGTTTAGGTAGAAAAGTTGTGTGAGAGGATGGCTGAGAAGTAAAAGTGAAAAGGATGAGACGAAAATGAGCTTGCTTCAATCTAAAAAATAAAAGACATTTTAACTTGACTATTTTATACTGGATTTTAAATGTCTGACATTAGTAAGGAGAAATAGCCACGATATCAATTTTTAATAAATACTAATGAGCTCTTAAATTAAATTTCTGAATTTAAAAATATTACTAATATTAAATATTAAAGAACTGCATGAAATGCTTAAAAATATTTATTCAGCCTGTTCAGTACACTACATGCGATATGAGATTTTATATAATGTACCTGTTTACTTGACTTTTACTTCACACTTCTACCACTTCACCCTGCCTAACTTCACACCTTCAGTCATTCCTCACAGCTCTCTGCCATTTCTACCCAGAATACCCTATATTCTGTCAAAACCTCTCTCAGAGGCCCTGAGCTCTGCTCCAGCTTATTCCCCTCTAATGATATTAGGAAAAGAAAAAATGGATTTCTATAAAAGAAATCGAATATGTTTTTAAAAACCAATCAGCTTCCACTAATCTAGGACCACACCCCCAGTTCCTGAGCATGGGGCCTTATCATAGTTCTGCGACACCACAAGGCAGACTTCAGGTTTTACAGATGCTTGACCTGTACTCTTTTATGCCTTAACATCCCTACATTTCCTTTAAATTTAACAGTACCTTTGAATCACCTTAGTTTGCAATACTTAGTTTTGGTTTACACTTGTTTCTTTTAAGTTACTGATCTGAACTCTCAACCATCTTAACGCCTTGTCTTAAAATAGCATACAATAATTCATGGGACATCTAGGATTTTGAAACGGGGAATGCAGATGGTGTGGTGGACTACATTATTCAGGTTAAGAACAAAACAAGAACAAAATAACAATTGGAATGTGCCTTAATTTGCTGTATGATACATTTGCTATATCCAACAAAACAACCTAGGTAAAAATGAATCAGAAGATGCTGGTTCTTTAGTCCTGTAGTCATTAGCATTAAATTTTCATCTTTCACATTTATAAAACAAAATCAAGCCTTCTTGAGCATCTTGACAGTGTCTCCAATGCTTCAGTGAAAGTTATTTCCACACCTGAGTTAATGCTTTTAGCCAGAGCTAAAAATGGTCTGCAGAACTGTGAAATACATTAAGAGGAGAAGCTAACAGACAGCAGTATTGCAGAAGAAAGAATAGGTTGATTAGTGGAATATTAAAGACAAAAAGAAGAGAGGATCGTTAACAGCTATGGAATGAAAAGTTTAGAAGGACTCAGGTAGATTATGATGAGCAATAAAATCAAATGACTCCCTAAACACTGCCTGAATAGAAATGCTGCTGCCTGTGCCAGGCAGTTTGTTTTAAACTTTGGGTGGGCCAGGAATCAAAGGTAGGTGCAACTGTACTGCTGCACCCCTCTGGGTCTGCCTCTGTTATACCTGACACTGGGTTGGGTAGTCCTTGAACCTTACCTTGAACCTTTACATCTGAACAAAACAGGTGCAAAATGCTATAGGTATTGGTACATGAAATGTAAAGACTCGAGCCCACTGTCTTGAGCTGAAAAGACTCAAGCCCACTGTCTACTTATTTTAATCCTTTTCTTTTCTCAGCCTGTTTGCAGCAGCATCAATTGCTGAATTTTGATTGTAGGCTCTTTAGGACAGGGAATGCATCTTCTTCATTGCAGTATAACACCATCAAAATGCAAGGTGCTATAAAAGTAACAAATTATTATAATATGAAACACAGGCAGCACAGATATATACATAAAGAATTCATTTTCATACACACACAGCACACGCACACCCACATACACACACACAAAATAGAGAACCTGACAAAATAAACAACAACAGAGAGATGCTAACATTTTAAGTAGGGTTGTTGGGCAGAATACTGTACCACAATGTTTTGCCCCAGCCTGACCAATGAATATTAGCTAAAATATAATGGTGGATTAATTCCCCTTGACAATAATTAGTTCAGCCTATGATCTTAGCAACCCTCTGGGCATATTCCTAAGGTCAAGATGAGAGTATCGAAGAAGCCATGTTGCTCTTTTTATAACCCTCCTTCCACATCTTGAAAAAAAGCTACTAATCCCCTTAAACAATTACCTTTAGAAGAAGAGTCTAAGGATTTTGTCTGGGGATACTTAATGAAAAAACTCAGCCTGTGAAATATATGGAAAGCTCACAGAGCCAAGAAGTAGAATGCAACTACTATCAGACACGTAATACCAATGAATAAAATCGTCACCAGACTGAAACTGCTCTGTATTTTTATCCATGTCTGTGTTGTAGAGTGGTTGAAGCCTAAACTTAATGAAGGAAATAATATGCAATTCATCAAGGTTTGGAGAGACAGACATAACTCTTGACTCGTCTCATATCAGTGCATTTCAAACTTCTCTCTGCTGCTTCTTTCAGCAAAGGACCTGTGCCACTTACCAGCTCACAAGAAGAGTAGCCTAAAACTCCATTCTGACCGTGAACAGGAAATCAGGCACAATTTTAAATTAAAAGGATGTACAGGGAATAATATTAGTAGCAAATAGTTATAGGGCTGTTCCACGCATCACAGACAGAGCACCCATTTCTGAAAATATGGAAAGCTACATTTTCAGTGGGAGCTGCTGTCATGCTTGATAAGGGCTAGCCACAGAATGCTTGGATGTGTTGGAACTACTGTTAGCTTGGCTAACCAGTTTCTTCCCCTAGAGAAATAATTTTCTCAAGGAAAACCTGCTATTCAGTACCAGCTATGGGTTTTCCATCTCTATTAGCGAGCACTGCAAAAGTCCTTACGCTGCCCTCCCTTGCTCAGTATGCCATGTATCTGGGGCTCAATGCTATGAGAATTATTGTAGAGATCTAGCATAGCCATGAGCCCCACATCAGCTATAAGGTAAATGAGAGGGGCTACCTGTGATGTGATCTTTGCTGTTCTGTACTAAGCTCCCTTAATTTTCCCTGCCACAGACCATTCCCCTAGTGCCTGTGGCATTTCTGAGAATGACTGGACTACCACCAGCTGCATAGATCAGCAGATGTGCAGTCTCTAGCATGCTTGTTTTTCTGCCTAGGGCTGTTATTCAGGCAGATGCCATTCCTTATTTTCAGATACTTTTGCATTTTTAAATTATAGGGGGTGGGGGGACAGAACACACTCAAATACTCTTGTCACTGTGCATGTTCCCTCCAAATCTGCACCTCTGAAATGATAGCTATTATTTTATTCAAGGTTCATATTGCTGAGATAGAACAAAAACTTATAAAGCAGAGATCTAATGCATATAATACCAATTTGCTGAATGTCACCGTATACTGACCTTCTATTACAAACACTGGCAGATGGCCATTCCTTTAGTACTCAAGAGTTGCTTGAATAGAAAAATCAAGCAATGGCTTAGCCTGTATTTTCGCCTCTGCATCAGTGCCCATAGCAACACTCAGTGGTAGCTGTATGAATTTGATGTCTCTGCTGCTACCAGTTCCTATCCAGCATAGTAAATCCATTGGTGATCCCATGGCTACCATATTCTGTTCTGTCAAAACTGCAAAACATCAAGGCTGGCCTGCTGGTGGGAAGGCAGGAGCACATTGGCAGTTTGGCGGTAAGCCTGAGTTCAGCAGCAGCAGCAGGCTGCTCACAGGAGCTGTGAAGATCTTCAGAGAAGAGGAGGAGTCATGCTCCCAGAGCAACAGCAGCTTTGTGAGTCGTGCAGGGGGGAAGGAAGTTAGTTGGCTTAAAATGATTGGCATGCACAAATGACCATAAAAGCAACATTATGGCAAAGAAAGTGAACACTAAGAAGCCAGGAAATGCAGAATCATACTGCAATTCAGGGCTTTGCAGTCATCAGACCCTTGGATACACATGGAGCTCCTTGTCGTCACTGCTATTTGTGAAAACCAGCACATATTACTGCCTACACAAACTAACATCTTTGTTTTACTCTTGAGGTAACACTGAACAGCAGTTTTCACTGAGCTGTCTGCTGTAAACAGGTCTTTTTCCTGTATGGTTACAGGTTTAGAACCCAGGAAGGGATAAGAGTTGTTCACATTATTTCCTCTCACATGCATAACTTTACATTTGCTAGCCACCTTTCCCTCAGCTCCCTTGGCTTGCCTAACAGACTACATGCATTTGGGAAACTTGAAATGTGCATTCCTAAGTACACCAGGGATGCCAGTGGAAACGAGAGACAGTACAGAAAATGTCTGGGTACCGCAGTATCCAGCACTAGTGACTTACTTTCTTCCAGGTCCATGTTTCCTTCCCCAAAGCTGAATGATAGGTATACTCAGACATCAGAGTTGTCAGGTCTTTGCACTGCAAGCAGTATATACTGCATATATTTTCAGCTGGCCTGAAGCCCCACTTCCAGGTTCATGGGTAAACTCACATCAGCATTTCTGTGCCTGCAAAATACAAACCGTGGGCCCAATTTGAGTGGTTGCACTTAAATTTAGTTGTTTCAACCCTGTGGCTGAATTGTAAATCTGATCATATGAATGCATTATTTTTAGTGAGACAGTGTTTGATTTGTAAAAATGTTCAGAATGTCAAGGACCTTCCCTGCTAGGCTGTTGCTTTTTGATAGTATATGAAAACTTTGGAATTAAATGTGCCCACAATATAACACATCTCCAGGTGCCTTACTTCATAATAAACACCATTTTGAATGGGCATCTCCCTATACAATACAGATTAATTTTAACCCTCACAACAGCCTAATGGAAAAAGCGTGCTGCACTCAAATTCCAAACACTTGCTGAAAGCTCTCCTTTGTTCGAGTCTCATAGTTTAGTCACCACCAGCTTCTGAAAAGATTTCTACAGAGTTAATGTTTCCATTTCTTTTAATTCATTAGTAATGATGACACAGCCATAACACAGCTGTGTTCCAGCTCAAAGGAGTGAGTGCAAATGTTGCCCACTGTTCCTCTATCTCTGTTCATTCTTTGGCTCGGAAGTGGGGCTGTACAGCATGTTGCTGTTCAGAGGATACGGTGACATTTTCCTATCTTTGGTGGAAAAGTTCTTTTAAAGGAAGGCTTTTTTTTTTAATCTGACATTTTCTCTGTGAAAAGCTGACCTAATTTCCTGGGAATAATGTAAATGGTTACATACTTGAAACATTCTGCTAGAGAATTTGTAGATAAAAATAAACTATTTTATGGTTCAATTATCTCAAGGTAGTGGGGATTCCTGTTGTGTTGTCACTGCATGCAGACAGTAGGGGTTGGTGCTTCCTAGCTCTTCTTCGGGTAAGTTAGCTTTTGTCAGTTGGATGTTCACTGTAGCTATGCCATGAAAGCATTAATATTGTTAGATAGTTATGAGAGATGCATACAAGAAGTTGCCAGCAACCTGTATGTCTGCCCTAAGCATTCATAACAGGCAGTCATGTTAATAAGGGCTCAATGGATCAGTATTTAAAAAAAATAAAACATAAAACATACTAACTTGCAATAAAACAGCAAGGCTATTAGTAAAGTTGATAAACTAGCAAGAGTAAATGCTGACTCCTACATATGATTCCAGTGGTTTACCATCACTTCCCCTTTGCTTGTAGCATTCCAGACTGCTGTCTTGTAATAACTTATGCAGTGGCATAAATGATATTCATGAAACCCTATAACTTTTGACAATGGGCATTCACAGAGTGTGCTTTGACCCCATGTTCCTCCTTACCCAATGCACATTTCTGGCCCATGAAAATCACCCAAGCACATCAGCTAGATTCAACTAATCATTTTAGTATTTTAGTATATCCTGACATCAGGAGAGATTTCCTTCCTTTGGATACTTACAATTCTTAATATGTTAAAATTGAGTTGTTTTTGTTAGTAATTAATGGAAATAGCTACATCAATTACCTTGGTGTGACTACCATATAGGCTAGGGACAGAAGTTACACATAAACCAGTTTAAGTGATCAGAAACTGGTTTAAACCTGTAACAGAATGTAAATTCACTGCACATAAACCAGTTTCACAATGGCTGAAACTAGTTTAAGATAAACTTGGTTGAATGTAGTCTCTGACTTAACTGATTAGGGTCAAACCAGTTTATGCAACTTTTGTACCAGACCCCTTCCTGGTTTAACTTAAACCAGAGTCCCCCAGCATCCCAGCATGCTTTTCAGCCCTGGACTGGGCTGCCTGCTGCAGACAGCAGTGTGGCAGTGCACCTGTGGTGCCTGCCACTTTAAGGGCAGAAAACAGGTAGCAGCCAAGTGCCTGAGGAGGGCAGCTGTTTTGGCCCAGGGATATAAGCTGGGCTGCAGTTTGCTGCAGAAAGGAAGTGGGTAACATCAGGAGGTAAGGGCAGCAGCTGTGGGGAAGAGGTGACCCCTTGTCCTGGGTAAGATGTAAAACTGCGCCCTGCCGGGGAAGGGTGGTCTGATGGGGCTCCTAGTGACGTGGGAGCCCCCAGGAGATGCCAGGCCAGTTACCTCCCTGGTGAAAGGTGGGTCGGGGTGCCTTAATAACCCCAGCCCCACATCCTTGGTGGTGTTTTAATGAGCAGGGAGAGCCCAGGCTCGTTAAGGAGCCCTGAGGCAGAGCTCAGACCAGAGGAGGGACCTGGGGCCATGCCCAGGCAGCAGGGGAAAGCCTGGGGGTGCAAGTGAGACCCTGAGTGAGAGGGGTGATGATTAGAGTAGCCCCATGGGTGTGAGTGAGTGAGGAGGCTCAGTGGAGGCATACTGGCCCAGCAAGTGGACAGGAGCAAAATAGGCCTACAGTCATACAATCGTTCAGTCAATGCTCAGGTGAGGGTAGCGGGAGACACCTAACAGACTGCGCCGGGGCTGGCCGAGGTGAGGAGAGCTAAGCCCGAAACCAGGTGAGGCTGGGCGGGATGAGTGTGACCCCTGAGAGAGGGGCTGGGTGAGAGTCAGCAGAGTAAATGGGACCCCAGTGAGAGAGGGGTGGCATGTGAATGGCCCTCAGGGCTGTAGGGAAGAGCTACAACTGTGTGCCCAGTTTGTTCTGGCCATAGGCCAGAGAAGGAACACCAGAGTAACATCTGTGAGGCATGGGACCCATGGAGAGAAGGTCAGAGCAGGTATTAGGCTCTTGTCAGCAGGGTGAGTAATGGGTAGCTTTCCACCTTTTTAACAACTCTCATATTTTTCCATCAAGAATGTGGCAGGTGAGCGAAGCAGGCTGTTACCCCAGGAGCAGAGCAGCCGGTGGAGACCTGACGCGGAGGCCACCCTGTTACACAGAACTGGCCCCATCCCTTTGCTTTCTAGCCAGAGCTGGGGCAGGGTGTTCCAAACATCAGCCGGTATGGCCCCCTAAGGCAACAGGAGCAGGGAATCGGCTTATCCACCACATCCCTCCCCTCTTCCCACCAGGGGACCACAGCCAGGGTCTGCCTGGTCAGGGTGTAGCAGCCCCTTTCAAGCCACCCTCCCAGCGGATGCAACTCTGTGACAGCCTAGCCAGGCAGCATGGGGAGGGGCTGCCTGGGTAGCAGACTGGCCAGGCAGTTCAGAGGCACCGGCAGGCTCCAAGTCT